GAATTTGTGTGGACCGACCTATCGTCTCCACCCTGTCAAAACTACGAGAGGAGTCCAAAAACGCCTTCAATACTAAGGGCAAAAAGTTACTCTTATTAGCTTTTTTGGATTTTTTTTATCCTTTTTCTTTTTCAAAAGTCTAGAAAGGCCTACTAACCTAATACAACAAAATTTTCAATATAGAAATCTTGATTCCCTCTTCTTTGTCGACAAAATAAAACAAAAATAATAATACAAAAAGACGAAGAATAAGTTATAAGCCACGACTATTGAAGAAAATGATGGATGTGAACAATATATAAATTTTTATGATATTAAGTGTAATTTAAGAGGACTAGGAGGAGAAGAAATACGGTGAGCGTGGGGAAATATCGGTGACCGACCAATGGCAGCGAGACAGCAATTGATCGGTGACGAAGGCACGTGCGGGTGAGGGGAACAAAAAATCTTCCAGAAAATCTCTAAACCTAGAGCGGTCGCTGTACACGGGTGCCTTTTCGGTAATAACCTGATTTTCATGTCCTCTTTTGTCTTTTTGCAAAAGTTTTTATTTATTTATTTTTTCTTTTTCCAAACAACACCCCAATATTTCTTTATTATTTAAAAATTTCCCATGCCTCAATTCTATTTGTATTTCTATTTACGTTTCAAAAAGAAAAAAAATATTATAGAAAAGGACGAAATTGGTATTTTGTTCCATAACCTGTCCACGTCGCTGATTGTTAGATAATAAATATAAAATTTTTAATTATTAAATAATACTATTATGTCCTTATACTAAAGTTTTAATCTGGTCTGTGTTTTGGTGGGAGAAATTATTCGAAGGATTGAAACAACGTGGCAGATGATTTTAGTACTATTCGATGTAATTGAGAAATTTTAAAAGTTGTATTTCAAATCTATACAGAATGATATTTGGGATAAATAGATTTTGAACCTACATCGAATGATAATTAAGAGACTGTAGCAAAAAATGCTTACCGCAAGTGTACGAGTCAAGTTTTAATAAAAGTGGTAAGTAATTACTGATATCGTCCACTGGATTGAGTTTCTAGTCACTCAAATACTACAAATATTATTAGAAATTTTTTTTGACACACAAAAATCAAATAACAAAGCGAATAAAAAACTCTAAACAAAAGTCTTATGGAGAACGGGTCCTAGGGAAGTGATTTCACCGACTGAACCTACAAGCGGACAAACTAAACATACCAAGATTGAATATGCAATTAATCTATAAGTCAAGAAATCAAGAATCATAACTGTCCCTCCCGAGCACAATTAATTCTCCCACTTATTAAGAAACCAATATCTCTATCTAGTTTCATTAACAAGCAGGACCTTAAGTCTTAGTCTTTAACAACCTCTAAGATAATTCTAAATCTCCCAATCTTAGAACTACCACAGTCATGCATTCAAGTTCCAATCTAAATCACCTCTCCCGAGCGTAAGATTCAGATATAACAATAATTAATCTGTGATCAAGAGATTAAAAGCATTAAGCGAATAAATGCAAAAATAGATTAAAAACAAATCAATCAAGACAATTGTTAATAAATCCAACTCATAAATCCAGTGGTTATATCAATCCCTAGAACAAGAAGATTAGCTACTCATGTTCACGAAAATACAATAAAATCTCACAGAGAATTTCATAATAAAGCTCGAAAAGATAAGGTAAATGAGAGAAACTAAAGCCGTAGTGTCGATTTACCGTCCCCGACTCAACCTCCACGATCACGAGTCTTCGAAAATCGTCTCCTCACTCTCCTTGCTTCCAATCTCGAGCCCAAACCTCTCCAAATTCCAATTCTCCAATGTGAGAATCCCCAAAAACAACGTACTAATATTTACTTATGTGAGGGCATCGCTACAGCGCCATGACGCCAGTAGTGAGCGCCGTGGCGTTGTCCCAAAATTGTGATGGACAAGCAAGTTCGTAGAGCCATGACGCTACAAGATAGCGTTGCGGCGCTATCATCACGGAAATAGGTCCAAGCTTTGTCAGCAGGTGCCATGGCACTGTGTACTGGCGTTGTGGCGCTGCTTCTTTGGGAATTTGCTCCCAATTGTGACCTGCAGTCGCCATGGCGCTACATGATGGCACGACGGCGTGAAATTGGCTGAATTAAGCTCCTCTTTTTCGCTCTAGTTTTCCTCTCATTTTATCGTTTATGTTTCAATTCTTTCTAATGGCTTAATCCTATCAAAACATCAGTTATGCACGTAATAAGCTATAAATGACCGAAAATTGTTAAATAATTTCCACCTGAATATCATAAAATGTGGTGTATAAAGTACACTATCAGAGAAATCTACTCGAACAAGACCAATTGAGAGGTAAACAATACAAGAGTGAAGGGCTTATCACCAAAACAAGCTTCTTATGCGTCGAATCAAACCTTAATTTGGAGCAACGACAAACCATGCTAAAAGTTATTCTTTAGGCGTTGATATGAATCACGGCACAAACGAACTCTATTCTACACCAAACATAGAGAGTAGGATGATGAGAGCCTTATAGTTATAGCTAGTTGTCATCGAATGGAAATGGCGACAAGGAATAATTTGGTAGAATCTTAAAGTTTTAGAATGTTAATTATCCCACATCGAAAAAGTTCAAGGGACAACCTAACAAAATTTATAAAATATTTCACTAAAATTCCTATATAGGATTGGTGAACCTAAAAGAGTCACTATCTTGGAAAGTCACGAATTCATACTTCACTAAAAGAATATATAACATGCTTAGGTTTTTGATAAGGTTAAGCAAATTCAAACGGCACTTTGCCGAAAATCAAGTTACTTGAGTTCACCTCCGATGATAGAACCCAACTATAAAATGTGAGAAACATCTACCGTTGATGCTATTTAAAACCAACAAATAAGTTTCAAATTGAAACTCAAATCTAATATAAAATATACTCATAATCGGGTGGAATGAAATTTATATATTTTAGCCGAAACAAAAACAAATAGAATAAATTTAATGCTAAATATATCAAAATGGCTTTAATTTTAATATTTTAAAATAATTCTCAATTTTGTGTTTTGTATTTTAAAATTCTTAATTTTATCCCGCTCCAATAGAAAAATATGTTAAAATTTATTAATTGTTAAGACTAACGTGTTGTTAAATTATTATTTTATTAACATATTTAGGTTTGTGCGAAAGTATCATAAGAATTGAATGCCCATGTTCCAAATATGTTAACAAAGTAATAACTTAATCATGCATCAATTTTTTTGTAATATAAATCGAGTAATAGCTCAGTAGATAATATATTTACTACCATCCCATGTTGATATATCGTTTGATTCCCTCCGTCCGCAATTATAATTTATTAAAGGTAAAAATGATATTGTAAAAAATTAACGACCAAATTTAAAAGTTTCGAGAATATTAGAGATGATTTAGTATATTCACCTCCATTATGTGTGGGTAGCTTCTCAATTGAAGTTGTTGCCAAGCCATTGATACCTTTTTTTTCTTCTTTTGAGTATTAAATAATCAAATATTGTCATCAATTCACCTTTTTAATAAAGAAAGAAAGCAAGATAGAATCCTCCTCTTTTGTCCGTTTTATTTAAACAAAAATAAAGTAAATGAAAGTTCTTGATCATTGATTATGATTAATACTTCTTCTTAAAGAAGTTTGGTGGAGGAATAAATGTAGTCTATAAAGCTTATTTTAATTATTACTATTATAAATTTTTAACATTATTTTATTTATTTATTTATTTTTATAACACCCGCATCCACCTTAAAACTTAGACCTGAGAGACATTATTAAGCCCATTAAAAAGTTGGACTTAAGATTTTTAAATCGACCTCAAGTCTATCGGGTTGTCCCTAGAACATAAATTTTAGCATTATTACAAATAATTTGGAATATGATTTAGAAATTCTCTTCTAAATATATTTTTTCGCTTTTTTGGACAACCTACTTCATTCGAGAGAATAAAATTATTCCAAATGAAACAAAATGAAACAAAATTCAAGATGCTGATTAATCAAAAATTTCATGTGGAGCCCATAGTGTTACATCTTAACCATAAGATATGTTTAATTTGACAAATGAAAAGACTTTATTCTTTGTTGTTTAATATTATAGCAACATTTTAATCATTAACTCTAAATAATTAATTCCCTAATGTGGTGGGGAAGTTTTGGGTCAATATAAAATATTTTTATATGTTGTTGCAATTGTGCCCATAAATTTTTAATTACAAAGTTTAAACCTTAAAATTTCATTATTGTAAAATATTTTTAATTACTTATTTCATCTGTTGGCTCAACGTGCACTCTATTTTATTGCAAAATTATTAAATAGTGAGGCTGCAACAATAACTGTAATATCATATGGTAACATATTTGTGAGCTTGTTGGAAAAATAAAAAAACTAACGTAACAAAATTAGATGGATTATGTAAATAGCTATCATTGCAATATCTGAAATTTTAAGATTTTATTTTTCAATTTCATCTATTAATTTATCCATTTTTGTTAATTTGGATTGGTTCTTCCCCTAATATGAGCTTCCTTTTGGGCCCAAGTTGAAGCCCAAACCTACCTATTTCAAGTGGGTTAGATTAAAACTTAGCTTATTCTCAAAATTTCCGAGTTTATTAGTCACACAATTCAATGGATAAAATTTAATCAATTTGCCCTTATTTACATATTATATAAAGAAAGACTGAAATTTTCATTTTAGAGATTGCATCCCTTAATTCAAGAATATGGACTATACTAATAATAAAAAATAAAATTGAAGCTTCTTTAATTGAATATTTTGGCCAGAAGTCGTTGCATCCATAAAAATTGAATCAAATTGCAATGGCAATACCAACACACAATTCTGTCTTGAGCATGCAACATTCAAAAGTCAAATTTACAAAGAAACATCATTCCCAATTCCACACTTTTATTTTGATATATACTCAATAACAAATGTGTATATATATATATATATATATATATATATATATATATATTTTAAAGTACAAATACCATAATAACCCTTCAACTTTTGCAAGCCAAATGTCACACCAATCTCTATACAAACCAATCATTCTATACCAAAAACAAAAACCTTGGCATAAAAATATCAATCACAAATGGTGCAAAAACAAGAGAGGCAATTCCTTTTTCTTTTTTTTTTTTCCTTGGTTCATTTAAAAGGATCATTTGGCCTTAAATAATGAAGATGTGTAAGTATAAAGAAGGTAAAGGGAAAAAAGAAGAAGGGCAATGAAGATTTGGTCAGAAATTGAGATGATATTGGAATGGGGATTATGGAGTAATTTTGGGTGTGAAATTTTGAGCTCAATGGAGAAAGGGCTTTGGCTTCCATTTGGTACAAATATCATCTTACTTCTTGCACTTTTTAATTTTCCCATGCTCCATTCCTACACCACCATCACAAATCATTATCAAACCATTTTTTCTTCAAAAATCTATGCAAATTTTCTTCCATTTTTTTTTTTTTTTTTACATTTTAGTATCTATACTTTCGAAGTGTCCATTTTATTCATTGTATTTTTAAGGTTAAAAAACACTTTTTATCCCTGTACTTCAATTGGAGTAATGATTTAGTCCATCAACTTCCAAAAGTAACAATTTAGTTCATGTAGTTTCAAATTGGTAATAATTTAGTCCTTGAAATCTAACTATGTAATAGTTTTGTCCCTGAGGTTTAAAGTTCGTAACAATTTAGTGCTTAATTTTGATGAGAGTTTTTTGTGACAGAGATTAAATTGTTACAAGGACTAAATTGTTATCAATATGAAACTATAGGAACTAAAACGTTACAATTAAAAGTTTAGAGATTAAATCGTTACTTTAATAAAAGTACATTGACCAAATGCATTTTTTAACCTATTTTCGAGAAGGGACCAAAATATTCATCCAAATTTGAATCCTAGACCTAAATTGTAGCACTTCTAAATTGATACACCTTATGGAATTTACATTTTTTTATAAAAGAACAAATCATTAGGAAATGGATGGATATTGATAAAATTACCTGGAGCTGTTTGCCAATGGTGACAACAATGGTATCAGCAGCAGAATCAAAGCAGAAAGAGCCCTGTGTGTGAGGATTGACAGAGAATTGGCAGTGCTCTGCTGGAATGTGGAGGCTCATCATCACACTCTCATCACTTTCTCTCTCTTCATTTTCTCTCTCTCCTCCATCATCAAATTGATTCTGCTGATTATTATTGTATCTGAAAATGCTCAAAATTGCCTCTTTTTCTCCTCTCTTCTTCTTCACCTTCTGATCTTCGCCCCATTCCTCCCCCATGCTTTCTGATAAAATCTCACTCAATTTCTCTCCAATTCCCTCTACTTTCCTGGCTACCTTCTCCATCTCTCCGCTGCAAATCGAGCCGAGCCGAGTCGAACCCAGTTGAAAAAATAGTCAAAATATTAGTTGTCATTGATATCCATGACGTACGATCATATTTGAAGATTTTTTGGAGATTTATAAAATCTACGCAACAAAACAAAACAAAGGAACACACTACTGACAATAATGTTTGTAAGCTTAATTTTTAAAAATAGAAACTAAAATTAAAATAGTTATCCGATGGGTTTTAATTTTTGAGTTTAATAAACTTCTATACTTTAAATATTTTCAATTTTGTTTTAGGACAAGTATTTTGAATTTTAAATTTTTTTAATATGCTTAAAAAGATGAAAAGTTTAAACCATATCTACTTAACAATTTTTAAAGTTCAGAGAAATATTGAACACAACAGGTTAATTTTTTTTTTTAAATATGAGAAATAAACTATATCAAAATGATATTAAGTGAAGATTTAGAATTAGAAAGTTTTAAAAAAGAACTTACTAATTAAAAATAAACTATAATTATATAATAGTAAACTTATTTTTCTCATTAATTGAAGTAAATTTATTCACTGAAAACCAACTCAATTACGCTACTAAGTACTAATCTAATGAAATATTATTTTTGTTTGAATAAATACTCTTATTTCTATAGAAAGTGGGCCTAATTTGGGCCAGAAACAGCCAAGTCCAGCTCAGCCCAGCCCATTTTCTAACTAATCGGAAACTCGCGAAGTTATCGGGTTGTTTCGGGTTTACCTAAAGTGCCGGTACGCCTCGTCCCGCGCAACCGAATGTTCCGACGCCCCGCCGTGTCTCCGACGGCGGACCTGTACAATCGCCGCCCGGGCTCCGTCATTCCTCTCCGAAGAAGAATCTTCCAGAATAGATTTCGCGTCCTTCACCACCGACAAAATTTCCTCCCCGGAAATTCCGTGATTAACGATCCGAAAGGCGCCGAACTCGCCGGCCGAACGGAGCATCCGCGCCACCGCGTCGCCGTCGGGAGACGCGAGCAATCGGTAATCGAGGAGCGCGGGCAAGGGATTGGCGCCGGAGACGAAGCGAGATTCCGGCAGCGAGAGTTGCGGGAGTTGAATCGACTTCGTCTCGAGGAATTCCTTGAAGGTCTCGTTGGCCGCCGAGCGCGATCCGGTGCCGGTCGGGATCGGCGACGGCGGCGGTGCCGGAATCGTCAACCGACTCTTCGTGCGGAGGAGAGCCATGGAAGAGGACGGTCGACGGCGGACGGCGGCGGTATTTGTGAATTTGGTTTGTAAAATATATATATATTATGTGTGGAAATTGGGGAGGGAGGGAGGGGCCATGAGTGGGCCATTTTATGGCGTAGGGGGCACGTCTCTCTCTCTCTCTCGTGTTTGCCATTGCCTCTCCCTAACTATGGATTCATGCTTTTTCATTATTTATTTATTTTTTTAAATTACCCATTTCTCAAACTATAGGGAGCAAATTGTGAAACTTCTAAATCATATGGACCAAATTGAAATTAAACTCAAATCACAATAACCAAATTAATAATTTAAGCCAATTGCAAATTATGTACAAAGTTACAAGTTCCCATTCATAACTTTTAGAGTTATGGCTATTTAATCTATATATAAAAGCAAGACTAACTTTCAATTTGACAATATGTCACTCTACAAAGTCTCTTTTTTCAAATTAATGACATTAGTGGTTTTTTATCTCTTGAAATAGAATGACTTGAAGTAGTATTAATTCTAAATGTTGTTTTCCTTTACAAGATTATAATCGTAGAAGTCTGCTAGGTTTCGAAAATTTTGAGGTAAAATTACTAATTTGACGCATATATCTCCAAGAGAGGTTATGATTTCGATCCTTYATCTCACATATTGTACTAAAAAAATATTAAAAGGGAGAGTCTAAATAGTAGACTATTATTGTATCATTTGCCTTTTTTTATAAATATTTCTCGTCCTAAATGAAATTTTAAAAAAATTAAAATTATTTCTACAAAATCATTCTTAGAACTTTCTTTTATTTCAAATAGGGTAAATTGAGAGGAGGGTCACCCGATAATTGAATCCTATATATTTGATATGGACACTCACGAATATCGAAAAATAAAATTTTACTCGTGAAAATATGTAGTAAAGAAAATTGTTATTCAATGTCCCATAAGGCTTTTTGTTTCACACATTTTACAAATTCAAAACAAATAAAATGCCAAAAAGATTTCCTTCATTTATTTATCCACAAATATATTCCCCAAAAACCCCTATGGCTTGTGGTACCCAATATTTTCAACTGCTCCAACCGTCTTGAACAGTCGCTTCCTCAGCAACATCTCTACCAAGGACTTCATCTGGCTCCGACCCTCCACCATTGATCTCGTTCTCGTAAGTCGGTGTGAGCTATTTGAGCGAGATCGTCCCTCGGATTCTCGGTCCGACAGGTTATTATCCTTGTGCCTCAAATGGTGGGCATCTGGGTCCATGGTGGGGCAAAATCTTGTAGGTTGCTTGGTTGTTGAGATGCAATGAGGCTCTCTCCCTTTGAAATGTGAGTCACATTCATCTTCTTCATGATCTTCATTGTTTGAGTAAAAGCTTATATTAGAGCCATTGAAGGAGTTCATGGAGGTGCTAGAACTTGCATCACCATCAATGAGGATATGATCCTCTGCATTTAATAAACAACCTCAAGACATTAGAATTTAGTGATATATCTCACTCATTCTTTCATAGTTCTGAAACAAAATATGTTTTTTTTATGTTAGTGAAAACGTACTAAAAATTAATCTTCACGGTCTATGAACTTATCTCCGTTTCATTTTGGTATTCAGAACTTTCAAAATGTCTGTTTTGACACGTGGGGTGGGGGATCGAACTCACAACCTCTTGGTGGAAGATATTTGTCAATTATTGCTGAGCTATGCTCGCTTTGGTTTTTTGCTTAAACATTTTTTTTCATAAACTTTGAAAAGGTATATTATAGTCTCTGAATTTTCAGTCACCTAATAGTCGCTCTCGAATACTCTACCAATGAACGCTCATATTAGCATGCTAATTAACTTGAAACCATGCTATCAATTTTATTAAAACCCTGGAACTAAAATTAAATTAAATTAAAAGAAAACTAAGGTAAAATCCAAAAGTAATCGTCTTTTTTTTTTGTCAAAGCGAACATCACTCAACAGTAATTGACATATACATCCAACCAAGAGATTGTGAGTTTGATCCCCACCCTCACATGATACCCTCACATGATGTACCAAAAAAAAAAGCAAACTTTTTTATAAAATAGACATTTTGAAAGTTTAGGAACCAAAATAAAATAAACCAAAATTGAAACGAAGAATCATGTATAATAGAAAGGACGACTTATAAATATAAAGGGTACGTACCTTGAAACCATTGAGAGGCAACAGAGGTATCATTCATTCCTCCCCATTGACGAGGGTTGTCATATAAAGAGTAGAAACCTTGCAAAGAATTTGAGGAGGATGCATAAGAGGAGCAAGAGTAGAAAGGATTTGGAGTAACATTATCTTCTTCTTCTTCATTTTCATAGTTGAAGCTATCTTGATGGTGGTTTTTGGGTATAAAGTTGTTCCATTCCTCCCAATTTGGGATCAATTTAGATACTTCCTTCTTTATCATCACAGCAATCTCCAATGGATCCCAATCAATGATTTCCAACTCTTTTACCATCTCGGTCGCCACATCGATTGCGATGTCGTTTACAGTGTCGAACGTGAAGTATACGTTCTTGGCATTACCTATCACGTTCAAGTTAATTACATTAAAAACATATATGTATTTAGAAACCAACCCCTTAAATGATCTCTAATCTTTTAAAGTGTGAATTTCATTCCATCGCTATATATCTTTAGCATTATTTATCATGCTATCATGTTGCATTGTGTGGTTCAAGCAAAATTAAACTATATCTATTATCTTATATTTGTTTAGATTTTGTCCCTAAAAATTAATAATTTTAGTCCTGAGATATATAGAGTTCTTTTTTCAACTAAGACCTTATATTTTTGACATGATGATATTGTGCTAGAATTAGCTGACAAAGTGATAATATCAAACAAAGATGAAATTGAAACTTTCAAATGGTTAAAGACCCAATTGAAAAAAAAAAGAAAAAGAAAAAAGGCAAACGCGTACAATTAGAGTTAGTGATATTTACCTCCCTTGACTTTAATCCGAACTTTTAGGAAAACTGTATCGTCTTCGGGATTCATTGATCCCGAGATGGTCATGTCTGTGCGTCGTGGCACTGGTATGGCTGTTTCCTTGGGAGGATGTGATATTAGAGGTGGAGTTGCAGGCAGCTCCTCCTCATGAGAAACATCATCAGAAGCTAGAAATGGATGCAGCAAGAGCTCTGTAGCAGGCAACCTCTTTGAAACATTCTCTAAGCATTTTCTCACAAATTTTTGTGCTTCCAAATCTTCAATCCGATAGTATGCATTTGGCAATTTTCCCTGCTCATTTAGTGTATCATCAATCAATTGTACATTGTTGAATTTCGTTAAATTATAAGTTTTGRTCCTGAAACTTTACGATATAACTATTTAGTTCTTGTACTTGGGAAAAAAATTAATAGGTCTAAAGGAATGTTAAACGAAGGATTTAATAAACCGTGAGAGATAGCGGATTTGAGAGAGTAGATTTAGGGCCATACCAAAGGCAATTATGTGCTGAGTCAATATATCTTAAAGCCACCCTCACTCTAGATCTAGTCTTTATGCTTTAAAAAGTTTCTAAGAGAGACGTAAACTTTTAATTTTGTATCTAACAACTTCATGTCGTTTACTTCATCGATCAACTTAGTGTGTTTAAATGATACAATTATTTAAAGATTGCAAGGACCCACGAAACGTGACATTAAAAGTTTGACGTATAATTAGAATCTTTAATGTATATAGACTAGATTATAAACACAACTCTAAAACTTCAACGATCGGCCTGCTTGAAACGTTTAAAAGTACATAGACTAAAATAAGCACAAACCCAAAAGTCGGGGGACAAACTTACCGAAGTTACTTTCTTGTATATCTGAGCAGGGTTAGAACACTCGCTATAAGGATACTCCAAAGTGAGCATTTCTATCACACACATCCCAAAGGAATAAACGTCTACAAGTTCATTGTATTCCTCATCATACAACTCTGGCGCCATAAACTCTGGTGTACCTATAAATTAAAAGTAAATTCACGTGAGCCTAAGTTTAAAGTGGACAATATCATATATTTGTTTGGAATTTTACCTATGACGCTGTGGGCGTGTTTGGAATCATGAAGGATGGCTGCGAGTCCCAAATCACCAATTTTAACTTGCCCAAGATGGCCATTGATGAATATGTTATCACACTTGAGGTCCCTGTGGATTACGGGAGGATCGTGTCCATGAAGATAAGCGAGGCCGCGTAGGATTTGGCGGGCCCAGTTCTTGACTGCACCGATGTCGAGTTTTCGGTACTTCTGCCTGTACCTAATCATAGAATCCCCACAAATGCTACTCAATAAGCTCAACAATAATAATGGAGTAGAAGTGAAATCAAGATTTAGCACACATTGTTATGATCAATACTCTCTAAGGGTGCCGGAGGTGAACATCTCGGTAATGAAGTTGAAGGTTCGTCGATGAGTGTCGATCCACGACGTGTAGAATCGGATGATCGAGTCGTGGTTGAGGTTCTTGAGGAGATGAACTTCTGAGTAGAGGCGCTGTAGTTCTTCTGGGGAATGGAACACATCTTTGAGCTTGACTTGGTTCCAAGCCACTTCTATTCCAAGAACCTCGTCAAAGGCTTTATATACTGTCTTCATGGCTCCTTTCCCTAGAATTTCTCTAAACTGCACAAATTAAACATAGCTTTTTAACCTAAATGATAAGGTTTAGTCTTTGAAATTTGAGGATTGTGTCTAATACATCTCGAAAAATTAAAAAATGCAAGTCTCTAAGCCTTCGATGATTGTTGTATCTAATAGATTTGAACTTTGAATTTTTTAGTCTAATATGTCCCTGAGTTTTAAGTTTTATATGACTAATAGATTCTTAAGGTATATATTAGACAATTTTTAAAACTTTTAGGAACACAGAATTTAAATTTTAAAGACTTTTTAGATATTTTTAAGCCTATATAAGACACCGAAATGGAAATTTATGATCTATTAGACACAACTCAAAGTTTATGACCAAACTTGTTCGGATTATTTGTGAAGTTGGCATATTGAGTCTCAAAGGCGAGAGACTAGATTTTAATTTCCAACATTGAACTGTAATACTAAATAAAGTTCTCATAAATCACTATTTAAAGTCCAATTTGAAAAATTTGTTTCTTTTTAAATTGGACTAAAATTTCAAATATATTTTCGAGGGATGAAAATTTAATTACTGAAATTGTTTTAATCTCTTAAAACAAAACTAGAACGAAGTTATCAAAATGGTACCTAAACTACTAAATTATGTTTAACTTAACATCATCTCTTATTTCTGATCTATAAGTAGAATAAGAGCCTCCATCGACCAAAAACTAATCAAAACGGATGGTTCTATTTCTCCATCCAACCTAGTTTAAAACAAAAATTCTCACAAAACCTTAATCTCCGCGACAAAAATTGACATATAGAAAGAGAGAATGTAGGGCTTAACAAAGATTTGAAAAACTTACCCTTCCATAGCGACCAGATGGATCTGTCTCAACATAGGCAATTTGCTGTGCCATTCTCGGAACCTTCTCTTTGTCTCTTCTCTGTGTCCTTCTTCCAAAATCAAATTCCAAAACCAAAACCAAATATATATTTATGTATAGAAAACGGTATTAATTTAATTTTTCACACACAGAACATAAAGAAGTAATTGCTTTGCTAGATGATCCGAGGTTTGCCTTGGTAGTTTTCGTTTGAGAAAAATCCAAACAAGAACCAGAAGAGCCTCGAGTAATTAACACACAGCATAATCCAGGCCATTTCTACAACCCCACGTGAGAAATTGTGGTAATATTTTGAAACCATCTGTCTCAAAGCCAAAATCCCAGAAAAGAAAAAGGAAATTATTGAAAAAAGTCGTTTGCTTGCTAGGAAAATGGAATGGAAAAAACACAAAAATTGAAGCTTTTGAAGTTGGGTTAGGATTTATGAAGTGAAATTGGAAGATCGGGAGAGAAAGTGGAGTCTGAACTTGAAGAATCTGTGACCTCGCTTTGCTAGAATCATTTGTGGGTCTCTGAGATTTTCTCGGGAAAATTGGTGGAACACAAAATAAAAGTTTTTCTTTTTTTCTTTTGGAAGAATGAAGAATGAAGAATGAAGAATGAAGAAGAAGAAGAAAGTGGCGTTAATTTTTTAACGGAGGGAACGTGGGAGATGACGTCTATTTTGACAGAGTCTATGTGCCATGCTGGCAGCGGCTGACGGTGACGGCGTTGATTTTGAACCGGGGAGTTAGCGGCTGGTTCGGCTTGGCTTGCCAGCTCCGGAGCCGGCCGGCCGGCCTCAAAGTTATATTTTATTATTTTTAAAATGTTGGAAAAATGCTTATACTCGTAAACAAAAGAAAATTAATACCTACAAAAATAGTTTCGATCCAACCATAAGATTGCTTGGGGAGGGTAATAATTGGTAAACTTAGTTAAAATTAAAAATAATTGAGGGTAATAATGTCAATACTTATTCAAATTTTTATCCTACTACGTTTACTCACTAAATTTAACAAAAAAGCAAGACAAAAATCTCTTAAAACATTAATTTCACCAAAAATCAAGTCCCTTGTTCAATGCATTAGATAACACATCTCCCAAATTTCACTATGTATACATATAATTCATTAAGTGCACACTAAAACATAGTAAAACCAAAATCCTTATATCATAAAGTAAAAATTACGGCACTTATTCCAACCTAAGGTAAAGAGAAAAATCGATACACTTCACCACCTTCAGGAGAATGATTTTCTCCCTAAACTTAAGTCAAAGCGTTCCATTTGAGAAATACAAACCCAAATGAGATCATATGACTGCTTTTTTTTTAATCAAAACATAGCAAAAAGTTATAGTTTTAACCAAGATTTTATATGTCGATGTTATGAGAGTATTGAATATATTCTCACTTTTATAAAAATATCACTCAGATGATATCAATGAATATTTTTGAAATAATAATAAAAGTAAAAAGATTGAAATAACAAACAAATATTTCACGTTTTTTAAATAAGTTAAAAAAATTATTACTAATGTCCATCTTAGTGATACTATGTTAATATTTTTTATATTTTATAATTTTATTTAGAATACTATAAAAATATCAATTCATCTCTCGTCGATGTCGAACTTATAGACATAAGAAATGTCGACAAAAATATCGACATGTATATGAAAATTTAATACCCTAATTCTAACAAAGCAAAAATCTCTCCTTCCTCATGCATTTTTTGTTCATATATTTTTAGAAGAAAGCTACACTATTGGAGCAGCCAGCTTCAATGGGATCTCATTATCTCTAAACTGTGAGGTTAGCCGATCATATAATTTTATATATAAATAAATTTCCAACCCAAAGTAATATTTTTAATATTTAAGCTGACTTTGCAGGGCCATAGTTTGGAGCCAAGAATGAAGAAGGAGCAATTGCCCCTTTTAATTTATCTTAATTTTAAAATATGTATGTAAAAGTTTAAGTTAAAATTTATTTTTATTTTTATGATTATTATTACTCCTTCCATTTCCCAAACTATGTAAATTTTGTATCTTCATGAAAAATAATTACAAATGTAGTATCCTTTTTTAAAAGTAACTGCAAATATATTGTTCTCTTCATAAAATGTTTCAATTTTATGTGATAATTATTGATTTACCCAATCAACCATTATTCTAAATATTAATAATTATTGATAAAGATATATAGTCTACTATTTTTATATTTGTAATTATTTTCAATAAATACTTTTGTGTTGTCTGTAATATTCTATCTCAAATTTGCAGTCTCTTGAATATTTAAAAGCTTAGGCTGACTTCAAATAAGCATGGGTTAGATTTTGGATTTGTTTGGCACTCCCAAATTTTATAAGCATATAGTTGACTTTACGTGTCAATTATCAAGTAGTTGGTTATTAAATATTCGACATTTTTAACATTAACTAAGCTTTCGATGACCCTAAATTATTAAACTCCAATATATTCATCTGACGTGTTACTCAATAATTATAGTTTCTTTATTAAAGGTGTTACGTAAAGTTGTAGAGATTTTAAAAGTGAACCAAATGTTTTGAAATGCACCAATTCCTTTCCTTCCGTATCAGCCCCTTTCCTGATTTTAGTCTTTTGGGCATAATCAAGAAAAGAAACAATCAAAATAAATAGATCAATAAATTCTAATATTGTATCGCCAAGCTATAATCTCGTAAAATTAGTTCGATATCATGCAAGTTGGCCTGAATGTTGATGGTGGCCTTAAGCAATCAAATTGGTATACTATGTTTTCATATTTTCATGAAAGAGATTTATTAGAAAACAATTGGGCAAGCAAGTGAATGAAGCTAACAAATCTCTCACGATGATTTACCGACGATTATCTACCAAGGCCCCGTGCGCCTCATGCCCACATGCTACCCCATGTGCGCTCCCACACCCACCAGCCCCCTGTGTGCGAGCCCCATGCCCACACCAACACCAAAACCCTGCGCACACTCACGGCCACCAACCCTCGCATATAAGGTAGCTAGTGGGCATGACCACATGGGGGATGGTGGTGTTGGGCACGCGCAGGGGGCCTCGGTGGAGGGGGCCATGGTAGTCAAGCCACGAGCGATGCGCCCTTGGTGGGCGTTGGCATGCACGTGTGGCCGCACGTGGAGACACAAACCCTGTGACATTTTAACCACGACTTCATATTTCTAAACTCTTGATTGAATAACCTAGAGAAACCATCTCGACTCAGCTTTTCGAGCACCATCATAAGAACAAATACTCATTTCATTTAAAAAGAGAGAGATCATCCCTGCATTGACAATTTGGTCAACAAGATAAGAAAGGTAAGCATGCTGCAGCATTGACACTGCTGCTAATGCAATTTCATGGTGATGGATTGGGGGGCAAAATAGACATGGCTCCAAAAAGAAGCATTTTTCATTTAAATTACAACAAACATAGGCAACAATATATTCTGTGCTCGTATGTTTTACCTACAAGGAGAAAAAGAAGAGGGCAAAAAAAAAAGGAAAAAAGGAAAAGCAACCATTGTTACAAACATCCTAGTTTTAAATATGGGGAAAAAAGGCTCTTTTTTGGTGTAAAACACGACTATTGGGGAGAAAAGCAAAATAAAATTGGTAGAATTTACAAAATGCTTTTTTTGAGCTACAAATGGAACAGAACATCTAATTGCAGAGATGGGGAGGATCGCAAACCGTTGTGGAAGAGAGTCACGCTTAGTCCAGTTTGTTAGCAACTACAGTTTCTTCCTACTCAGTTCCATACTCACTAACCAAATAAATTAAAACTCCCTTTTTCCGACTCGAGTCAGTTCGATAAGGGTGGGAAGTCCTCTTCGTCTTTCAACTCGTATGATTGCATATGCACAGAGAGCCTACATATTCAGAAGACAAAAAGATAAAACTTTTAACAGTTTAAAGAGTTCCATGTAATCAATCCATAAGTAACTTGAAGGGTTCAAAGTGTTCGTACCTATCTTGGTCTGTAACCAATGGGTGTTTGGCTTTCTGCATCTTGGGACTCGAAACATTCAACGCTGCCGAGTTTTGAAAAACTGCAGATACGGGATTTGGTTCCCGGCTGCAATCTACGGGTGCGGGTGGCTCTAATTGAAGATGCCCAAATGACCCAAATTCTACAGCTCTATCAGGCCGAGGCATTGCACCATTTCCATTATGGTGAGCTTTCCTTACAGGAGAGCCAGAGGAAGTTAACATGCCACCACCATGATTAACAGTTGGTACTTGGTACAAGTCTTGACCACTTTTCTCAGGCGCAGTTGCTTCCAAGGGGGTCGTTGATCGGCCATTGTTGCGCGGTGACCGTACCGGTACTTGGTTCCTTCCCCTTGCTGAGAGTGGTCTGTCCCTGTAATGGTTCTGGAAAAAGAAAATATTCAAAAGACGAGAAAGCAGTAAAATCCCAACCACCCTAACAGTGCAAGGAAAAAAATGAAAGTTGCAAAACGTCGTGCATGTTGCTAACGGTTCTTCCAGGTATTCGTCACTAACTGCTATTTTATTTTCAAACTAGCAACATATTGAAGGTTAATATGACGAGAATACCATGTTGGGAAAGTATGTCCCTGTTCCTCGTGGCTTTGGCATCTCATCCATACCCAACGTTGCACCCCCCGGTAATATAGGTGATCGAATGGGATAGAATGCTGGTCTTGCAAGGAGCCCATTACTGTTTATCTGAGCAAAGGCATTCTGCTTGACCTGCACCGAGCGCCGTATTATATCCCATGGATTCTTGCTTGGATACTGCGAAGGCAATGGTGGAGGCATGGGCGAAAGCGCTGCATTGAAGGCATAGTCGTAGCACCACCGGCCAATTTGCAAACTGTTTAAATGACTCTCATAATCACCATTAAGGTCTGACAAAGCATTGAAAGCTTCTGGAGGTCCAACATTGCTAGTCAGAAACCCATAACCACGAGAACCAGGAAAGAAGTCTTCAGATGATAAAGAAACCGAACTTGAAGGTGGAGAACATTGTTTTGTTTCGGATTGGTTCATCACTTCATCATTATTAATCATGTGGTTCTCGTCCTGCTTACCTTGTGCGGTCAACCCTGTTGCTTCAGTAGGTGATGGCAGATTCTGGTAAGATGACTTCTCTATCAGATCAGAATTCTTTGGTGTGCATTTATTTGTATTTCCATCTTTTAGTTCCCCATTCTCCAAGACCGGTCTAGAGAAATAAACATGAGCATGATGTGCTTGATGACCTAATGGTGACACGCCCTCCTCAAAACTTGAAGGGGAGGATTTATGTGCATCATGTGAAATAGTAAGACCTTCAATTCTCGGGCTAGCAAGATCATTTGCATCCCCAGAGAGACGATAATCTGAAACACCAATGGCATTTGTAAGACCATCAATGCCTGAAGGAACTGATAATGGTTCCACTTGGAAAGATCTTCCTTGAGATGATTCATTCGTGATTCCGCCAACATGGTCATAAATACCTGATACCTTGTTATTAACATTTCCCCCATGCATCAATCCCTCCTGACTCAAGTTACACTCTCCAGTAGGGCCACTAGCACATACAGGGCCTGAAACACGACTATCTGCTTCTTCTTGTGTCTCTGTTCCAGATACTAGTAAAGCTGCACAAGATTCATAGCCTCCAGACACCGGAACAGGGTCTTGGACATCAGGCCGCTGCCCCCCTCCGTGCCTATCCAATGTATTAGAAAAGAACTTGCGCACTTCATCCACTACATTTTCTTCGGGATGGGAAAGGATGGACCCTAGCTTCCGAGCACCATAACTGAAAGCGCTTCTAATCCTATAGAAGTTTCCTGCACATTACGAAGTGGTTGTCAAATATTTCAAGGGGTATCACCTAGGTCACAAAAAGCTAGCTCTTAACTATATTTGATCAATTTTAAGATTTACCTCCTATTCTAATCCTGAACTTTTATATTTATCTCTCAACTTTCAAATCTTCTAAATAATTAAATGTTCGAACTTAGTCCCTAAACTTTAAATAAAAAGATTATTTTGTCCTTACCGTAACTTTTTCATTCATAATATTGACAGAAATCTAGATTCGTTTCAAAACTTAACACTATGATTTGTTGCTTCAAAGACTTGCCTATGGAGAAAATGAATTAAAGGCATGCCACAAGTTTTTGTTAGCTGACAGTGGAAAATTAACAAGAAGCACTAAAATGATTTTTTTATGCAAAGTTCATTGGTTCACGAACCATTCTGAAGTTTGAAATTCAAGACAAAGTAACCCTTCATTTGAGGTTAAGAAAGTTCAAAAAATGATTTTAAATCCTATAATATGGAATTCGATAAATAATTTGAAAGTCATTATCTTGTTTGGAATGAGAATGATTTTAAATTAATATAATTAAATTTCTTTATTTGGATGTTCGCGAGAAAGGAAAAGAAAATAACATATTTATTAACATAGGCTTTTAATCTTAATTTATTATTGAAAATTAAAATATAACAAGACTAAAAAAGTAATTTATCTTAAAATTCTATGAAATCCTACAAAATTCAATTGTTTTGGTCAGGAAAATATTTTTGAATAAAAATATGTTTTGAAATCACACAAGATTTCAAATCATTCTCTTTCATGTGATAACAAACAATGGAAATTCCTTAGGATTTTAAATCGCTCAAAATCCTTGAGCAATCAAACAGATAATATGCGTGAAAGTTAACAATTAGTTATCATTTTAAATTATTTCCATTTTCAACATTTATTACTCAATGTGACAACAAAAGACCTCTCCCTTGCTCCTGTGCACGCTCTAGCAACTAGAATGCTATGAGTAATTTCCTAAATGATTAAGAAGACAATAATAATTTTAAAAAAACATTTCACCATAGTTTTAGGATGTCCCAATCACATCTTTATACATGAAAAGAATAATGGCAGTCAATCAAACCTAATGCAGGAGAATTGTACTTACCTTTGCTTACACTACGACCAAGGTTGTTATTTTCTTTTAGCGGATCAACGATATTGAGATGCTTTATGGGAAATGCCCTTGAGTTTGCCTCGTACCCCCTCGCAGGAACTGAGAACATTTCTAAACAGCTCTTAAGAAAATCAGTGGTAAGCAACAAATCACCCCCACCATTTTCAGGTGTCTCAGCTGCCAAAAGAGGACCAAAACATTTAGAATTTCAAATAGAAGGCATATAGGACCCTCAAATAAATTAAGGTAGCCCAAAGAAGCTGCTCACCAACAAGCTCTGGCAGTGAGGATATACGGACTGGACCATTCAAGCTTATGCAGTAATTATCCCAATCAAATTTGCTAAAGTAGTCCAGAAATTTATACAGCACCTAAAAATTTACACGTATGATGAAATAATTATATACAAAGCATGTGCAAAGACCAAAAAGAATTACAATGAAAGGGGTTAAAGACGACCAGCTCCTGAAACTACTAACCTCTAAAGGACCATTTAAGGCAGAGTGGAAGAGATGAAAAATATATAGAACCAAAGTCTCCAAAGCATATGTTGATATCAAGCCATGATGCGCGCCAAGTATGCGGCTCTCATAATAGCACCAAGCTTTAATCAGTATAATGCTGCGCTTAAAAAGATGATCTTTGCCAATAAGACGATCAATCTGTTAGAAAAAGTAGCACTTAAAATGTCATTATGATATGCCATTTATTTACATGCTAGAGGAAAGAAGGAGAAAAAAAAAAAAAAAAGAGGCAGGACTTTTGATCCCAATACTTGAAAGAATTTCATTTTGAACCAATGAGAAATCATTAGGTGAGTCATGTTAAATGAAAAAGAACCTTTGAAGGAATGTTATTTGCGCATCAGACAAACAGTTGAATGACATATTCATGCATCAAGATGCACAAGGCAACATGCAAGGGTTAATACAGCATTGGATGCCGATTAGATATGTGCTTTATTATTTGATCAGACTTCAAGTGTTATTTGACCCAAAAAGATGCATGGGCCAAGAACAAGTCAACTACATGGTCTTATCAGTTAAATGTGCAAATGTGTGCATGCAGGGGAAAGGCAGGTGTTGTCTAAGGCCAAGGAATCTCACGAGCTTTCTTACTCACAGCTGTGTGTCTTTCTTATAGATAAAAAATTTTCATCAACCGTTATTTCTCCTTCTACAGAAAACTATTAAGGAATAGTATTGTGATACAATTCTTGGAAAGAATGAGACCAATTATAGATTTAGAATCCTAAAATTACTTGAGAAACTATGAAAAATAAAACACGTGCCAAAATTTTTTGATTCATTGACTTTTAGTCACACAAAAAAACCAAATAGAAAATGGAAGAATGATCATTTTGGATGTGGAATCTAGCTGCCAGGAAGTCAAGTGATTACTAAGCTCCTACAATTTACAAGAAAATTATGCTTTCAATGATGATGCTAATAACAATGCAAGTTCTTAATTATATGAATTAAATAGGAAAATTAAAAGGTTGGTTACTGGCTCCTAGAGGCACTACAGGGAAGGTCTCTTGAAAGGAAAAGTCAAAATTCTTTGGAGTTGTGCAGCTAGAGCCTTGTTTTGGTGCCTATGGAAAGCAAGAAATCTTTGAGTCTTCAACGACAACCTTTGTCCCTTCGACATTTTTTGTAATAGTGTACAAATTACTTCCTCCTTGTGGTGTCTTAACCATTAGAAATTCTTTTGTAATTACATTCTAGCAATGATTATTCGTGACTGGAAAGCTGTAATTCTCTAATCTTTTTTGGGAGGGGCTCTCTCATCCCCTTCCCCTTCCCCTTAGGTTGTTTCGTTGGTTTAATACATGTCCTCAGTGTCTCATCAAAAAAATTAAAAAAAGGTTGGTTATTACATTGAACTATATAATTATGGATCATTGATGTTGCTATAAAATAATATCCAAAGTTTTAGGCATCAATTCATACATACACGACTTAATCTTTTACGTGTGATTCACTGAAAAAGTACCTGCTCAAGGAAGCACAACGTGCAAAGTCCTCCCAATTGATTGAAGGAAATATCAACAACTATATTCTGTACAAGGCACTTTACAAGCTTAACCTGCAAACAGAACACTCTATTCACAAGACATCAAACTAACTATAGATGGCTATACTAACTGCAAGAAGAAGATCCTATATCAAACTGCAATACTACACATACCACAAATATAAGACAACATGATAAAAAATGTATATTGATGAAAGACCACTTATCAGACTCATGCATAAATAGTTCAACCATCAATTTAATGAACCTAAAAATGCGATTTCCTCCCAAATATCTATAAAAAGAATGGCATCCATTTGGTCAACCTCTAACCTATATATCATCAAGAAAATTATGTTGAAAATATAGTAGACATAATAGTCACTGACAAGCAAATTTCAGTTCTGCAGCCAAGTTGTCATTGATTCATGGACAAAATAATAAATCCCAAGCAATACAAGACAACATAGTTCATTAAAAGGTCCAGGAAAGCTAATGTCAATAGAAATGAAAATAAAAGACAGCAACAGGAAATCCAGCTAATTTATTTCAGAAATCAAAGTTCTCGAACTCTACCACAAAATACATTATACAAGAGGCAGTAATAACCTGCAATAGATCTCAACAGATCCAGAGACAAATGGGAACTTCTAGAAGAATTTCAAGAAAAAAGGAATTTGAAGAAAACGAGAAAAAAAAAAAGGACCTCTGAAATGGATAGCTTCAGTCAAATTGATTTCAAATAATGTACGTATTGCCTATAACTTGTTTTTCTTTTTGATGATTGAGAGCAGAGTACTAGACCTATTGTCAATTGATAGTTTGAAATTTATGACTCTAGGATATCATAGCAACTAGCATGAGCCAACCATCAAAAAAGAGAAGATGACCTTAAAGAACCAAAAGTTTCAGCATGATAGGTGAGATGTGTTGAACCCATTGGTGGTAACTAAAGAAGTCTACTCACAATTCTAAAACCAAACAAAAATAATTTCAAAAAAAATGGAATGCCATCATGTTTTCCAGTCTTCTGCTTCAGCCAAAAAGAAATGGGTACATATTAAGCTAATAGAATAACTTTTACAACAAAAGAAAAAAATAATTAAAGCCAGGACCTCAGCTCGAATTAATTGCACATCCTTTACAACAAACTCGGCTGCCCCATTCTGATCTTCACTATTTAGGACCGAACATACGTCATTGGCCAAAGCTTCCTCCACATTTGTACCACCGAGGGCAGTCAAATCAATATCTCCATCAGGCAAATAGGTCTTTAGTGGCACTGACCCAAATGGGAAAACCTGTAGTATCACAAGTTAATAAGAAATCTGCAAAATTCAATATAATTTACAGAATCTGAGCACAGAATTGTAATAGAAAAATGGTAGAAATGGGTATAATTTCCATGCTAATAGTGAAAATCAGAAAGTGTCTAAAAGAAAATGCAAAGGTTTTTCCTCAGCCAAACTGCAGTCAGGTCAACTTGTAGTAGCTTTAATAAACCCCAAGGCATTAAATTACGTCATACACTACTTTACAAGATTCACCCTACATATGCGTTCATGACACAGTTATTGAAACTAGTTTCCAAAGGCAAGCCACAGAGTCATTGAATACAATCAGAGCAGGTTCACCATCAAGTAGTCAGCAGATTAAAGCCCATTTATAAAAAATAAAAAATAAAAAAAAAAACTATGACTAGTGTATCAGTAAATGCAAGAAGATCAGTATTTCCAAACCACTAATATCCACAACAACTATTGAACTTGTATGAACTTCCATCTTCTGATTCAAAAGTCTTCTAAACCTATAAATAACCGTTCAAAAATTTTCAATAAGTATTAGTATTACAACTTTATAATATTTTATATTCAAAATCGTCAAGCATCAGTGAATGCCATGTTTTCAGAGGACTACTTGTCCGTGCAATACCTCATATTTGTTGAAAAATCAAGCACCACTAATTCCCATATCAGATGTCCTTGAAACACCATAATTGCTAAGCTTTCAAGAATATTATCATTTGTTGGAACTAMAAAGATGGAATTTGACCGACTGATCCTCCCCTCCTTCTCGAAGTTACTCTTACAGGACACCCCTTCAAAAAGGAAAAGGCAATTCTTTGGCAAAACTTCATGAGAGCTTTCCTTTGGAACCTTTGGAGAGAACGGAATCAACGTATCTTCACTGACAAAACTCTCCCCTTTGATATCTTTTTTGAAGCTATAGTATTCACAGTCATTACTTGATGTAAATCCTCCCCTATGTTTCACTACTATAGCTACACTTCCCTCTTAGCAAATTGGAAGTGCTTCATGTAATCCCTCAATTTGAGGCTTTTGTAATTTCATACATCAATGAAATTGTTTCTTTCAAAAAAAAAAAGATGGAATTTGACAACCTCTCTTATTACTTGTAAGTTATCATTAGGGGAAAATGGTTACCCACAAACTAAACTAGATATACTGATAGTAGATTAACATTGTATTCAGATGAAATTGGATTGACCTTTGCCAAAAGTACAGCTGCACAGACATGTAGGTAATCTATTATAACAAGTAAACATTTTGAAGAAGGTAATGCCTGATTAATCAATGGGGAAAAAACACTAATTATAAAATATAATTGATAAAATTATGCCAATACGAAAAGGAATTATAACCACCTCATTCCTGCAAACGAAAATGAAAAACCTTCCTCTAATGAAAGCCCCGTCTCTTATCAAAAGAATGAAAAAACACACCATTGAAGAGAGATAGAGCATACAAAACTTGTATGGTCGAAAATCATGTCACCCGCAGTACAACCATCTAGTTTAAACCAAATATTTCTACCTTACATTGATCAATATAGGCAGGACAGATTGGACTACAATCAGCACTAACTCAAGCCAAATGAATGCAGAAAACTTTCCAGCACATGAGAAACAATGAACAAAAGCACAAATTGGGATAAACTCCCAACGTTGAATCATAAGGCAGCTTGTCTGCTTCCTCTATGCGATGCTATTGCTACTCCAACATAATAGCAACCTTGTGAACACTGTCCAAATTAATTTTCATCGCGAAAGCCAATGCTTAGCCGTACACTTACAACATCAGTAATTAGAAGCACAGATAGGAAATTCTTGAATTCTCAAACTACTAGTGAACAAATTAAAAGAACAAAGTGTGGAGATTAAGATTACGATGCTTGTATTACGTATATTCCGAAGCTCACCTCGCATCCAAGACGACCTCTAATGAGTCTCTGCACGTAATCTATAACCTCTTTGCGCCTCCTTTCCGATACGACTGTAGGCTGAACCTGGGAGATTATAGCCTGCGTCGCTTCCTCGGCTCGCGGCCAGTAATCGGCACCTATTTCTGTCGGATTCGAGGGAAGAAACGATGAAAATGATGAGGCGGATGAGGATGACGACGGCTTCTCTTCTGCTACGGCGCCGTTTTGTTCAAGCGACCAAGACCGGAGATCGCCCATGAAAAAACTGAAGCTACGGCGATGATACGAAACCTGAATTCCTCACGGCCAACGACGGGCGACGGTTGTACAGGCCGCCGCTGCGCAAATCGATGGTGCAACCATTGCGGTGTTGGAGAATTAACACCGAGAAAATCAACTTTCCGAGTGATGGTTCGTGATCTGTACTGGAAAATTTTGATCCTGGAGGAAACCGATTCGCACCGAGGAGAGAAGAAAAACGTCCGATGAACGGCGACCGGAACGATGGATGAAACCGACGATTTTTGCAAAAGAGGAGAGTCTCTGAAGCAGGTGATGATGGGGGCGGATCCGAAGTGATTAAGAAGTTTATAACAGTAAATCGTGAAAATCAATTTTTAAGATTTATAAAAATTAAAATTAAAAAAAAACGAAGAACAAGAAGAAGAAGAAGAAATCCCAAACAGCGGAAAAAATATATATATATAATAACGAAACTTCCTACCCTCTCTTCTCCTTTTTGCTATATTACGCAAATTAATTTTCATATCTATAACCTAAAATTAAAAATGAAAATTGGATAGCCTTAGTTTATATGGTAAAATATTAAATTTATAAAAACCTATAGTTTATCAATTTGTTCGTACAATTATAATTTATAATAATTAATTATGGGCACTTTTTAAAAACTGTTTATAGGAACTTATTGGACGTTTGTGTTTATAAGTTGAAAGAAACAAATTAGTTCAACTCATAACCAAATGTTTATTAGATACAAAAACTTCTCCCATTTGATATCTTTTTTCTAGACTTTTTCCTACTTTTTCTTTTCAGGTCTAAGGATAGACTTCTGTATTGTCCTAAATTTAAAAACGAACGGTGTAATTCTCGAATTATAAGAAATGATTCTAAAATGTCCCTAGAGTCAAATTGTCATTAGTGAAACTCATGGAATTGTCATTTCTTGTCGTGGTTAGCCAGAGATGATGGTCATCGAGTTGTAGGTTTTCCCTAACTCAGGAGGTGATGGTCACCCTAGCTACAACAATCATGGACTATAGGAGTTCTTAATCTTTTCGTTTTATGTTTTTTAAAAATATACATGCTATTATACAACATCATTCGAGATTAACACATCAGCAAATATCAATGGTCCCTCGAATCCCATGTCAGTAGTATTACGTGTGTGACGCTATCAGCCATTTGATTTCATGGACCTTTTGAAACTATTTCTTTAAGGTTTATGATTGAATTGTCAGTTTTTTAAATATAGGGACCAAATACAAATATTTACTCAAACTTAGGGCAAAAAAATGTAATTTACCTCTATTATATTAACATTTTTAATAATTTTATAATAGTAGATCAATTTTATTAAAAAAAAAAAGGTCCATTGCACATCCACATGATTCATGAATATCCTGCAATCCAAGTTTTTATAGTAAAGTTATGTCCTATATTCTTTATTGCTCTCAATTAAAAAATAAAATAATATCAAATAACTATTTTATTTTCTTTATTTTTAGTCCGAGGGATCCTTGGCCATCTCCTCACACTA